TCGGAGCCCCTAAGAGCAGTAGTCTCCCCCAGGCCCTGGAGTGAGCAGGGTCAGCCCCAACGGGAGAGTTTTGCATCTGGGGTAACTAATTAGGATAAAGAGAAGGGACTGAGGACACATGAGTTCCATACCTCCCGCTCTGCCACCATCCTTGCTGCTGGGACCCTCTTGTCTCGATATTCCTGATAAAGGTTGATCGCCCAGGGCAGCCCATGGTGGAGGGGACTGTGACAATAGTCACAGCAACACTTACTGAGCATTCCAGGTGCTGAGCACACTTGGAAGTGCTTTTCATGTATGAAACATTGAATCCCCAAGACAACCCTATGAGGTGACTACTATTGTCATCTTTATTTTCAACATGAGAACATGAGACAGCACAGAGAGGGTGAGTAACCTGCCCAGAGCCACAGAGCTGCCAAGAAATGCAGCCAGGACCCAAGCCCTGCTGTGTTCTGGGCCATTCCAACAGCAACTGTTCAATCCCACCTGTACGTCAAGCCAGGTGAGGGCACAGGAGGCAGAGTGCTCCCAAGGGTTCCAGCGCCAAATGCTGCCTCAGTGGTGACTTTAACAATGTTAGAAGTATTAGGACAATTGTAGGTTCTATTTATTCTTCCTCTCAAACACTTACAGAGCCCACATTAGGTACCAGGTACCCTGCAAGCCATTGGTCACATGACCGCTAACCCTGGCAACCACCTGCTACATGGCTGTTGACATGATCACCCCCATTTTGCAGATGAGGACATCGAAGGGCCAAAGCAGAACTGTCCCACCAAGGCCACAAAGCGCTGGCTGAGTATGGGTCTGCTGAGGTGGCCAGAAGGAGGGCATTCCAGGCCAAAGACACTGCCCCAGCCACTGCTTGGTGGAGTTTGAGAACAGAGTATGGAATAGTAGGAAGTGCCAGCTCCCTGCCCAGGGCAACCTGTGCTCATCCAAGGGCTGGGCAGGCTGGGAAAAGCACTGGGTGGTTTTGATATTTTGAAAGTTAAACAGGCTGGGCGTAGTGCCCCACGCCTGTTATCCCAGCACTTAGGGAGGCCAAGGCAGGAGCATGACTTGAGGCCAGGAGTTCCAAAACAGCCTGGGCAACATAGTGAAACAGTATCTCTACAAAAAAATAGAAAAGTTAGTCGGGCATGGTGGCCTGCACCTGTAGTCCCAGCTACTCAAGAGGCTGAGTCAGGAGGATCGCTTGAGCCCCGGAGTTTGAGGTTGCAGTGAGCTATCTATGATCATGCCACTGTACCCCAGCCTGGGTGATAAAGCAAGACACTATCTCAAAAAAAGGAAAGAAAAGAAAAGAAAATTAAACAGGCAGATTTAAATAGAGAAGAGTCCAGAATCACCAAGGATAACTGCAGGGCACAGGGCAGTGGCCAGTTCCAGCCCACAGACCCTCTGATGTCAGGTGGGCTGAGTAGGAGTCACCTCTGGGTTTAGCAGGACAAGTAAGGGGCAGAAATTAACATTTATTGTAGGCCTACTATGTGCCTGGGCTCGCTTGTTTATTGTTAAATTTACATACAAATCAGTATCCTGTTTCCAAAGAGAACTTGCAGAGAGTTGTAAGTGAGGATGCAGATGGTAACCTTAGTAGACAAAAGAGCAGGAAGTCAGGGTTGAAGGAGGAAGGAAGGAGCCAGTCAGTTGGGAAGCCTGGTCTTCACTAGCTTGAGGTCTTGACTAGTTTCCCTTAATTTCCATGGGCCTGAGTTGTTTAATCTGTGAAATGGGGAGAGTAACACCTACATTATAGGTTGCTGTGGAGCTAAGTAAAATAATCTACATATTGGGCAGGGTGGCTCACGCCTGTAATCCTAGCACTCTGGGAGGCCGAGGAGGGCAGATCGCTCAAGGTCAGGAGTTCGAAGCCAGCCTGAGCAAGAGCGAGACCCCCGTCTCCACTAAAAATAGAAAGAAATTAGCCAGACAACTAAAAATATATAGAAAAAATAAGACAGGCATGATGGCACATGTCTGTAGTCCCAGCTACTCGGAAGGCTGAGGTAGAAGGACTGCTTGAGCCCAGGAGTTTGAGGTTGCTGTGAGCTACGCTGACATCATGGCACTCTAGCCCAGGCAACAGAGTGAGACTCTGTCACAAAAAATAATAATAATAAAATAATAATAATCTGCATAAAAGGCAAACAGTAGCCATTGTCAGCAGCCGCCATCCCTGGGCCCATCCAGGAAGGCCACATGTTCGTGGGGTCTGTCTGGAGACTGCAACCAGTGAGAAACACCTGTTGACAAGGAAGGGCTCACATGCTAAGTTCACTCAGGCACCAAAAGTTTGCCAAGGGCTTACCAGGTGTCAGACACAGTTCTAGGTCCTGGGAACATGCAGTAAGGCAGACAAGTCCACGATGGGAGAAAACAAGCTACAAAAACTATTTGCAGACAAACCTGTTTTTATGTCGCTTTTTTAAGCACATATATCCATGGAAAGTGAAAAGCAAATCAAAATCAAAATGTTGACCATGGTTACCTCTGTGTGGTGAAATTACAGGTGACTTTTGCATTCTGTTTTGCTTTATCTGTACCTTTTACAATGGACGTGTGTTAATTTATTAAAAACAAAACACACTATCAAGGATATTTTAAAAAACAGGTTGAGATTCCTAGCACTCCAGGCAACAAAGGAAATGCTAAGGACATACCCATGCCGTCCCTCAAAAGCAGTTTTTCTTGGCACCAGAGTTTGACACGTAAAACACCAAGAGGGATTACTACAAATGCCCTACAACTGTCTCTGCACAAATGCAGACATGGCACGCCACAGGCATGTCTTAAATCTTTGTCAAATAAATGAACAAGCGACCAAATACCAAATAGCAAAGCTGTTCTCCTGGACCTAGAGCAATGACTCTCACCTGGTGGGGGGTGGGTAATTTGGCCCCCAAGTGACATCCAGCAGTATCTGGAGGTTATTTTTTAATTGTAATGACTGGGGCTGCTACTGGCATCCGGTGGATAAAGGCGGACAAAGGGATGCTGCTAAACACTCTACAGTACACAGGGCAGACCCCAAAACAACAACAACCTGGCCCCACATGTTAATAGTGCTGAGGTTGAGAAATCCTGTCCAGGGCATCGGGCCAGCTGCTGCATCAGAAGAAGTAACCCGAGCCCGGGAACTGGTTACAAAATGCTCTCTCTCCTGTCTCAACTCAGGAGGCCTCATTATTAAGAGCATGAATCTGGAGTCAGACCAACAGTAATTTTACTCCTACATGTGCCTTAACTGGCAGATGGATTCCCATCTGTAAAACGGGGATAGTAATACAGTGCTGATCGGCACGGTGTTGGCCCCAGGACACTTGATTGCTTGGTAATTACTGTTACTATGGGCTTTTCATTTAGAATATGGATTCCTTTCTATGGGATATTAGAGTTTTTTTAATGTCTAAGCATTTCTCCTCCCCCATGAAGCTGAAAACTCTTCAAAGGCCCCACCCACATGTCAATTCCCTGGGTATCCTTCACCTTCAGTGTGTTTTAGCAGAGCACCAGCTCATGGCGGGTTCCGTAAAGATGGGAATCTACAAAGTGGCCCCACCTCCCTGGGGCTTCCGTCTGGAGTATGAGAGAGGTGGTCTCAGAGTGCAGGGAGACGCCTGCAAATGCAATCACACTGAGGGTGTGGAAAGGTGGCCCCTGATCTCAGCCTGGGAAGAGGAACCCTTCTGGCCCATGTCCTCTTCCTGTGCCCTTTCCTACTCCCTCCTGCCCAGAGGACATAGAGCAGTGTTGAAATTCACCTGTGCTCAAAGCACCCCCGTGACATCCCTGGCAGGGGAGGGTGACAAGGGTTGGAGAGAGACACTGATTAACTCAGAAAGGGCGCACAGCTCAGCAGGGGACATATACCAATTCACAGCCATACAAGGGTCAGGCAAACAACTCAAAAGTATGGGGTGGGGGTGGACCCCCCCACACACACCTGCAGGGAGGTGGGGGGGCGGCTCTGAAAGGGAAGCCAATATAAACACTGAGGACAGCCCCACCAGACTCTGAGCCCCTCCAAGGCAGGGTCTGTGCCCTTTCTACCTCCCCCACCTAGCCCAGAGCAGGGAGGGCTCTGAAAACATGTGCAATTGAGTGGGCAAAGGTCCGGGAACCCACCTTCACAGAGTCAAGATCTGCAAACCTGAGTCTGAAGGGCAGCTCCGCCTGGGAACTGCTCCTCGGTCTCTTCGTTATTTGGAATAGTATCTACCTCACAGGGCTGAGAAGTTTAAATAAAAGTGAGAATGATGATCACGACAATAATAATAACCGGGCACCCACTGCCTGTGTACCAGGCACTGTTCAGTGCACTTTCCATGTATTAACTCATTTAATCCTCACGGTAAGACGCATGCCAAGAGCCCAGCATAGCATTTGGCACATTATAAGCACCCCATAAACATTAATATCCCACCTACCAGAAGAAAGAAAGGAGTCTCTCTTTTCTGCCCAACATTTAACTTAAAAAAAAAAAAAAGGAAAGCATAAAAGAGGCAGAAATCCCAGCAGAAAGAGAAGAGGATTCGGGGAATTCTGGGCCGGGGTCCTGCGCGTGAGACGAGGGCTGTAGGCGAGGTGTGGCGTGCCAAAAGCAGCGTCCCTCAGGGGAAGCCAGCCAACTCCGACAGTCCGGTCCCAGGAGGAGGAGAGTGAACACGAGGGCTCGCTCGGGGCGTGGGACCCGGCAGCGCCCGGAGCAGCCCACCCGGGCCCGGGACTCGGGAAGGAGGGTCCCCTCGCTCCAGGCAGGCGACTCCCGAGCGAGGCGGGGCGGGGTGCCAACGGATCTCGGCGGGAGAAAGGCCCGGCGGAGGCCGGGGGGTGCAGGAAGGAGCGACCCGGCGGAGCGGCGCCCCAGGGGAACCCGGGGGGACCGGAGCAGCCCGGGGGTCGCGCCGGGAGGGAGTGCGGCGCCCAGCGGCGCCCCGGCTCCCGGGCCGGCAGGTGCACGCTCCGGCCGCCCCGGCCCGGCGCTCACTCACCCGGCTCCCCTCCAGGGCCGGGCCGCCAGGGCCCGGCGCAGCGCGGACCAAGGCATCGGCATCGCGAGCTCGCGGCGGGGATGTTGGCTAGAGCGTCGGCCGGGCGCGGCAGGAGGACGGCGCCGCCCCGCCCCGAGCGCACCACCTCGACGGGCGGGGGGGGACGCATCGGCTCAGCTGCCCTCCGAGCTGGAGACCAGCCAGAGCCCCTCCACATTTACCTCTCATAAATAAACCTCTGCCCCTGTCGGAAAGATGGAGGCGTCGCGTAACACAGGACAAAGGAAACCCGAAAGTCAAGTCCTAAAATATTGGCGTGTCCCCCTCCTGTCTTTATGGTACAACCCAGGGTGGGAGAGGGCGTGAACGTCGTCAACCAATCAGGTCGACACATGGAAGCTCCTGAGCCAATCAGCGGGCGGTCAGGTTGCTGCCTTTCTAGGCCCGAGAGAGAGGAGCCGAAAGAGCCAATGAGAGCGCCGGGATGCGGCCGGCCCTGCGCGCGCCAGGTGCGGCGGCTGCGGGACCGCCGGGCTGGGGGCCTCCCCCCGCCAGGCTCCGCGCCCCCGCGGGCCACGCCGCGGCCGAGCCCCGTCCCGCCTCTGCCGAGGGCCCGGGCCGCGCAGCCTCCCTCCACCGCCGGGCCTGGCGCGGGCCCGCTCCCCGGCCTGCCCGTCGGCGGGTTTCCGTCCGCACGAGCACAGCGCGAGCCGCCCGTGCTTGGCTTCTCCTGCAAAGCCTCTGGCCGAGAAACCGGTTGTTCCTGAGCCGACCCTCCCCCCTCCCTCCGTGTGAAAATTTCAGTTTTCTCTGCGAGCAGTTGTTTGCTTTGGTGAACACGCGAGCGTTATCGAAAATCTCGGATCCTTAGGTCTTCTCTGATGAGGAGGGTCTCGGGGGACACAGTTTGCTCCCAAAGTGCTATTTATTATGGGTTTTCTCACGCTCTGGTCCAATTTGTACTTCCTCTAGCAGCGTGAGCCTGGCACCTGCTCGGGAGGCAGGTTCTGCTGCGGATTCCAGTTCCTCCATAAGACACTGGGCACATGACATAACTTCTCTGGCCTCAGTTTCCTCATCTGTAAAATGGAGGTAATAACAACCCGCCTCAGAACGCCCCCATCATCTCGGGCCATTCCTTTCCCTCTAGATTACACCATTTAAGACAGGAAAGGGAAACTGTGCAAGTGCAAGACCTAGAAATGGCAAAACAAAAACTGGAATTACTGGTGGCTGTTGGTCTTCATCTTTGAAGAAGACCCTGGTCAGGTGGGCTCAGTCACACTAGGGCAATGTTGTCCAGAGTGTGGCATTAACAAGAAGAACTAGAACACTGGACGGTATCAAACCCAGAGCACTGGGAGGTGGCCCCTCGTAGGCTTGGTGGAGAGGATTGGGAAATGGGGGCTCTGTTGTGGTTACAAGGGCCCCAATTCCAAACCAGGCCATGCCTGGCTCTCTCTTCCCCTTTGGTCAAATGTGTGTAATAATTCCTGCTTTATCTTCTTCCAAAGACTTTATTGTGAGATGCGAATGTAACAGGTGACGTGAAATTTCCCTGTGTTATCACTAATTAGCTAAAGAGTTTATTGTAGTGTTTATATGGCCCCCCAGTCCTCTTACCCCTCCCCCAGCACCAGGTTCATCCTCAATTTAAAAAAAAAATAAAACACCTTCAATTCTAAGACATTTCACTTTATTGAAAAGAAGCCAATATACAGGATATAAAGGGCATGATATTTACAACAGTACAGTAAACAGGTTGGTTTCCGGTAGGATCAGTAGTCTCAGTGAGTATAAACCCCGCTTCGCGGTGATGCTAGACCCAGCTGGCAGACAAACGGCAACAGTAGGGTGGGATGGAACCATGGGATATAAAGTCTCCCTGGATGGGGCTAAAAATCAGGTAGATGCTAAAATGTCCACAGAGGGGTCTTGTGGGGAGGAGGGCTTTGCCTCATTTCTTTGAGGGCTTGGGAGGGAGGGGCGTGGTGAGGGATTTGCCCAAGACGAACACGCAGCCCACCCTGGGCCCGGGAAAGATTCTCTTCCAGGGAGAATCTGGCTTTACATGTACCCTCTCCGCCACCTCCAGACTCCTCACCTGAGCAGAGTATCCCTCTAGAGTGGGAGTCCGGTGTCTCACAGGGGGAGGACCCGACAGCCCCATTGCCACCCTCGTGCTGCTGCACCTCAACCCTCTCCCAACACGGCGGAGTTGGAAATGGATTTTGGTGGCAGACCAGAGTTACAGTAACGAATTAGAGCCCACCCTCTGCAGCAGAGCTTTCCCCTGCCTCACGCCCCCGTTCCCTCCCCACGGCCACCCCAATTCTGAATTCCCCACTGCCCACCTGCCCCCACAAGTGCCCCTCCAAGACTCCCAAGGAGCTGAGGTGTCAGGGGAGAGGGCAATGGGGTGACGTGGGACCTACGCTCTGCGGAAGCTGCTCACGGGTGTGGATGCCCAGAAGTGCGGACGGAAGACGAGGCGGGGGAAGGGTACCGATTATATTCAACCCTGTGGCAACATGCACCCTATCTTGCCCACGGGAAAACGCTGGGCCCCCACAACTGCCTACCCTAGATTTAAAAAACCTTGCCTTTCATAAAAATAGATGAGAGTCTCTTGCTTTATAAATAGATTACATTTAGCTTAAGTTACACCTTATATTATCCCCTACCCTGCCCCTCTCCTCCCATCCCAAGCCAGAGTGGTTTGCTTCCCCCTGGGTCCTCTGAGCTCCGCCACAGAGCCAGGCCGTGGTGGCCTGGTGCTTCAGAGACCTCAGGACACACCGCCACAGGAAAACCAAATATGTGTGCGTGCCCACAGCATCTTTCCCTGCTCAGAGTCCCAGAGGAGTGACTGTAGGTGTGAATTTCACAGCGAACCAGGCAGCCAAAAGGACGCTGCTCTCCCTGCCCCTCCGCAATCCTCTGTATAAAACCCCCAAAAGTAGGAGAGTGAGAGACGGCAGCACAGGAGAAGCCCATCTGAGAACACTTCTAAAATACCAATGTCAATATGACACTGGGCTTAGATATAGAAAATGAAAATCAAGTATTTACAGCTTTACAAAGGACGGACCAATTGGTCCCAGCTAGGCCCGGCGCTAGCCCAGCAAGCGTTGGGGTCTTTCTTGGCAAGCTGTGGGCTCGCGGCAAAGGGACGGGCAGGGCCCGCTGGCCACTCCCTGGAAAAAGCACGTGGTGGGGACACAGGCAGCCAGGCCAGACCCAGGAACCAGCCCAGGGGGCAGGCCGGTCAACCCGTGCTCTCCTGCCCCAACCGCCCGCCCCAAGTCCTTGCTCCCAAGCGGAGGGCAGACACTGCAAGCCAGCGCTCCCAGGCCAGCGTCTCTCTCTGGCTCCTGCCGCTTCCAAACTCCCCAGGCAAATTCAGAGCACCCTCATGCCCAAAGACAAATGACCTATGTATACAGTGGGGGAAACAAAAATAATACCACCAGACACCAATCACCGTGGTAACCTTGGTTACCCTCAAACTCTTAGCACTGCTGCCTCACTGTCTTAACTCTAAAGATATGTCTGTCACCCTCCCGCCACCCTGAGGAACCGCCCAGGGCCAGCTTCCACCCCGCCCGCCCCCCTCCCAAACCACACGCAGTTCCACGCCGCCCTCCGCCCTGGACAGAGGGACCCACGGGGCGGACAGTCTCCTGCCCTCGTGGAAACGGAAAACCTTTTCAGCAGCTGAGGTCCAAGCCCAACTGGCTCTGTTAACCTTTGGTTCAAATAAAAATAATAAAACAACAATAACAATAAAAATCAGGTACGTTTGAACCCTGTAACCTTCAGAACAAGGGTCAGTGAGGAGGAGAGAAAGGAGCTGTCTCTCCTCCCAAATCACTGTCCCTCCAAGTACCTGCCAAAAGGGACTGTTTGGCTAACAAGGGGCGCTGACCATGGAAGCCTCCCAGCCAGGCTGCCACAGGGGACCCATGGGATGTTCCCCCAACAAAATAAAGGAAAAAACTCATGATGAAGGCCACCAAATTCTGATAAATTACATCACACACAGCCACTAACACATTCTCACTTTCTCTCACTATACATATATGTGAGTCTTATGTACAGTATTTTTAAGACCGTAAAACAGGTGGGGGAAACGGAAGAGAGAGAAGGCCCTTAAAGGTCCGTGGTGCCCTGGGGAGACCAGGATCCCACTCAAGCCCAGGGCCCCTTCCTCGGCCTGGGGAAGAGGCAGTGGTGGGTAGCCAGTTCTGGTCCTTGGGCACATTTTGCTCCTGTGACCACCAGAGGGAGCTCCTGGGCCAACAAAAAATAATGACTATCAGCCATCCGCAGTGGGCACTGCAGTGGGCATGAAACATCTAAAAAATAATAAGAAAGCAAAGCCTGCTCAGCTGGCTCCAAGCTGAGATTTGGTGGGTGGTCTTCACACAGCGCCCTGCAACTCGGGCCCATTCAAGCCCTGGGGAGATACTGGCTCAGATTAACTCCCCAGCCGGTCAGTGGAGTGGATTATGCAGAGAGGACTGTCCCCGACCGAGAGCCCTTCTCCTCCCTCCCCACCCTTGCCGACGCCTCCTTCCTGCCAGTGGCCGGACAGTGGGGCAGTGGAGAACCCGGCCAGCCCCGGCCCAAGGCCAGGGGAAGGGAGCAAAGACCAGGCCTGGCCCCTTCAGACTTTCTCATAGAGAAATCACAGATCTAGAACCCCGTACTGCTGGCTGGAGGGAAGAGCATCGAGTCACCAGGGCAAAAAAGACCCCCACCCCCAACCCAAACCCACAGAGGCCCCAGCGAGAACAAGCAGTTGGGGGGGCAGTGAGTGCCCACCCTCAGAGCTTTGAGAGAGACCCCCTCAAACCTGGGCCCCCTCCCAGCCCTGGAGGGAAACCGGGAGCCTGGGGGAGGGCCCGCCTTCCACCACGGTAAGGCAAGCTGCTTTTTTTTTGTTTTGTTTTTTGCATAGTAGTTTAAACACAGTGAGGCTCCACCTTCCCCTCACAGTGCCTTGTCCCCCACTTTGCCACTTGATCCCAAAAGAAAATAAAAATTCGTCTTCCTTCCCTTCCTTCCGCCTTTCTCTCTTTCAGGGATGGAGAAAATCTGGGACATCCCCCCACCCAGGCCTGGAAAGGTCACAGGGGCAAACAGCCCCTTCCCAGGGGGAGGTGACCACCCCCAGCCCCAGGTCAGTCCTGGTGGCCGCAGAGGAAGGGAGGGCACCGCTCTCCGCCAATCAGAGGAGCAGGCGGGAGGGTAGACAACCGCGTCACACCTCACCTGGCCCCGGCCCTCACCTTAGAGTTTTGTATAAAAACACCTGCTAGGAATAATTCTTTGGAGCTCAAAGTGGCTCAGCTTAAGGGAGAAGGCACCGTTAACACTGCATCGTCCAGACAGAAGTCTGCATTTGTGATGTGGAGAACAATAGAAATTGACAGCACCATTCCTCGGGTGGGTGGGTGGAGAAGGGTCCGTCGGTGGAGGGGGTGGAAGGAAGGAAGGAAGCAGCGGTCCCTCGGGGCCTCCAGAGAAGGGAGGGCGTGGGAAGTCCGTGTGGGGAGGCCTGGAGCCCCGCTCCGAGGAGCCTTCCTGGCCCCGTGGGCAGGGGGCCAGGGGACCCATCACCAAGGCCGCCGGGCGCGGGGCCTCGGTCATCAGCTGACCATGGGCTCCACGTCTGCCTCCCGCTCGAACTCATCCTGGATCTCGTCTGTGCTTCCTGAGTCGCTGCTGGCCACGGAGCTGGGGGACGGTGAGTTCCTGGAAGGCACAGGAGGACAGGGGACGCTCAGAGAACAGCCCGGGCCCCCGAGGGGTCAAGGGGCAGGAAGGCTGAGCCACTCCTGTCACAGCCGCCCTCAAGGGTGTCCCAACCCTGAGATCCTGCCCTCCCTCGGCTTCCCTTAGAATCCTTTTGGCTCACGGGTTGAACGTGGCCCTCCAGACCCCCTGGGACTCCTGCCCCAGCCTCTAATTGGTCTGGGTGTGTTGGCCTCGCTAGACAGAAAGTCCCCGGGGAGCCGAGATCACAGACCCTGCTTGGTTCTGACCCTCGGATCACCTAACACAGGTCTGGACATAGAGGAGGTGCTCAGAGAACCCCACATGACTCGGCGCTCAAAGGGAGGCCCCACGGGTGGTGGAATGAAGGCCGGGCTGGAATTCTCGCCCTGTCTGGGATGAGTCGGGGTGGGGGCCTCGGGCAAGTGTTTAACCTGCCTGAGAGCGTCTGCTTCTCCACCTGAATGGGGGAGTGGCAACAGCAGGTTCTGGGGGGTTGGTGAGCTAAAGGGACGGCCGGCCAGGCCAAGGCCACACGCACTGCCACCCACCGAGCTGCCTGCCTCACGTGCAGGCCTAGACCCGACCAGAGGAGCGGTTCCAACCAATGCACGTATCTGTGCTCCATGCCAAGCATGCTCCTGCACTATCTCATTTTGTTATCGGCAGGTCTGTCCCCCGGCAAGGCTGTGCGTGCCCTGAAGGCAGGGGCCCTGTCTGTCCTGTGTCCTGCCTGGGGCGTGTCAGTTTCCTGGGGACAGGCCCTGGTTGGATGGAGGGAAAGGAAGGGGAATCTCTTCCTCCAAATAGGGGGCCTCCTCGGCAGCAGCGGGGAGCTATGCCCTGCCCACCCCCTCCGCCCTCAGGGCAGCAGAAAGTGGGGTGTGAGCTCCATGAGGGCAGGGGGGCCCCGTGACCTTGCACAGAGCAGTATCTGCTGAACTGGGGGCTCGGGGGCAGCACTGTGGTGGGAGTTACAGGAGCTTAGATAGGTAAGTCATCTAGCACATAGTAGGCGTGCTAATATTCAATGGATGGATGGACAGATGGGCTGGGAAGATGAGACGTGGCCAGCCTGCAGGCTGCGGCCCCAGACGTTCCCCTCCCAGCAGGACAGGCGCGTACCTGTCTGCAGAGCCTTTGATGAGCCGGCGGCAGGTCTCCATCTGCACGTCCAGGCCGCGCTTCATGCTGCACATCTCCATGTACTCGTGCAGGTGCCGGTTCATGTCGCTCTTGGCCGTGGCCAGCTCCAGCTGGGGGGACGCCGGGCAGTGAGGGTGAGGGCTAGTGACCCTCGCGGCAGAACCCCAGCAGCCTCCCTCCCCGATGCCTCGGTGGGGGCACCGTCCAGGCCGCCCTCTGCTCTCTGCACACTGGTCCTTCCCCTCTAGAACTGCCGCTGGCCCACGAGGAACGGTTGCTTAGCAACCCCAGAGGCAGCCTGCCGTGATCGAGCCGGCAGTTTTGATAACTCCACCCCACGCAGCATGCCTGGGCTCCTTTATGAGAACTCGATTAGAAAAATCCTCAAGTCCCTTCCGTGTTTCTGACCCTCTCCTCCGTCACATGAGCCTTCCTCTGGTGAAGGTGCTGGGCTTTCCTTTCTCCTGCGTGTAGCAGCAGGAACTAACTCTCCTCTGCACAAGTGGTCATGTGCACGGCCCCTGGGGCCAGAGAGCAATGGACCTGAATGCTGCCTTTCCACTGTGAGGCCTCGGGCAAGTCACTCGGTCTCTTTTAACCTCCTCTCCCCCTCTGTAAAATGGGCGCATAGTCCCTGCTGCATAGGGTGGAGGTCGGATACTAGGAGGGTATACTCAGCGTCTAGTGTCACTCAGTGTCACACAAATGTCAGCTCAGGTTATTATGGGATCGTCATTTCAGCTGAATAATTTTTTTTAAAAGCTCTCTGGGGCAGGCAGGGATCACTATGCCCATTTTACAGACTAGGAAACTAAGGCCCTAAGAAGGATGTGCCTCGCCCAGTGCTAGGCGTGGAATTGGCAGGCCTCCTGACTCCTGATTCTGTGCCCTGCCCGTGTGGTCATGTGATTTCCAGGGGTCTCGACCTCGTGGACCTCAAGAGAGCCTTGCTCGTGGGCTCACGGCCCAAGTGCTCACCTCGATTTGACCTATCGTTTCCTGGTACTCTTTGTCTCTCGTCTTGAAGAAGGATTCAGTCTCATGAATCAAGTTGCCCAAGTTTTCCTCTTGCTGGGGAGACAGAACACAGGGACAATTTAGCTGGGTGGTGGGGGCTGCAGGGAAGGAACAGGGAGAGGAGATTGGGGAGAGGAGATCGTTGAAAGGAGCTGCCCCCAGGCCCGCAGCCCGGGGCTCACCTCGCCCTGCAGGTCGATGCTTGGGTTGCAGTTGGTGAAATCCTCCCAGAGCAGCAGTGTGTCCTCGTTCTCCTCCCACGTCAGGCTGTCACAGTCGTCGTCAAAGTCAAAGGTCTCCCGCCTGTGGGGGGTGACACCGGAGGGCATGACGGAACAGAACCTGGACTCCAGGGGTCCATACAGGGGACAGGGGACCTATAAGGCTGCCCTCCAAAAAGACAGGCGTGGTAGCCAAAGGGGACATTCACCTTATCCAAAAGGAGTTAAACTCTTTTAAAATGCAAAATGCATTATTAGTACAATTTAAAAGATGCATTTTTAAAGACGCCAGGCTTTCAATAATGAGGACTAAAGATATGTTCCTCCCAAGTCCAATTTTGGCGACTCCCCTCCTTCATTTTAACAGCTATTTCTTGAGCCCCTACTTTAAGCGAGACAATTTATAATCATCTTCTCCACAACTCGGCAAGGTTGGTCTTATTTTTCCCATTTTACAGATGAAGACATTGCGGCTCAGAAAGGATAACTCACTTGTCCAAAGCCACACAGGCAGCATGTGGCAGAAACGGGGCCAGCTCTTTCTGTTTCCCAAAGCCTTTCCCTGCCCATCGAGACAGCGCCAAGCACCCACTGTGTGCTGGGCACTGAGCGTACATTAAAATGCAACCCTGTCCACCCTCCAAACAATCCTACGAAGTGAGGACTTTACAGGCGAGGAAACTGAGGCTCAGAGGGATCAGGTGGCCTTCTAGATGGATGCATGCCATTAACTGGATTTGAACCCAGAGCCTGTGGGATTTCAGGGCCTCCCTGTTGGCTAGAACTGGAAGTAGGGGGACCTACCATCCAGGTGTGCCCAGGACCAAGGGTTTCCCAAGATGCACTGGTCACCCCAACTCGGGGAGACCTGAAGATCATGCCATCCCACATACCCATTATACAAATGGAAAGGCTGAGTCTGGAGGAGTTAACTCACTTGGCCCAGTGAACCACAGGCATGGGCTGGCGTGGATCCTGTCTCCGGACTCCCGCCACGGCCTGTCCCCACCGCCTACACTCCTCCCCTCAACTCCCTCCTGGATGCCCCCGGGCATGGCTCCCAACCACTGGACAACAGACTGGATGGGGGGCCATCAGGCAGGGCCTTAGAAGAAACACGTGCTGGGGGCCCACAGGAGTCCGCCGGCCGGGCGCCCCGGCTGGCGCAGTTCCTGCCGGCGCCTGCAGGTGGCCCAGCGAGTCCAGGGAGCGGCACTGGGGCCCGGGACCTGGCGGCAGTGGTGGTCATCGCGCTGTGTCCCCCACTGTGACCGCACTTCCTCCCCAGCTCCGGGACCTGAGGGAACCCTAGCTGAGGGACAAGAAGCCAGGAAGGACGGAAGGCGGACTAGGGAAGGGACTTGGAAGAGGCCCGCCCCCACCCCGCCTGTCCTCCCCTTCTCCTTGGTCGGAAGCCCAAGCATCCGATTTGAATCAAAACAACACACAGCCCTGACACGGGGGCATTATTCCAAGACTTCACTAGAACTGGCCTGGGGCAGCCTGGCTCGGGTCCTGGCCCCGGGAGATGTCAGGGGGAGAGGGTCAGGGCCCCGCCCAGGGTGGGGTCCTCCCGCGTGGCCTTGCCCCAACTGCAGGATGGGGCGGGGGGATCACAGTCATCAGAGGATTCTTGTTTTTTTCAATTTAGCAACTTTACAATCAGATCAATCTAAGGTGATACCGAACCCGGCTCAGATCTGTCACCACTCAGGTGCCCATTTCTGCAGCATGTTCGCGCCTGACTGCTCTGAATGCTCTTTCTGCACACAGCAGCCTTCGCCAGGAGAGCCCTGCACTCGGGCCTCAGGATGTGGCCCTTTGCAGCTCACCCCATTCCTGGTCAGCCTAACGGATCCCCTGGGGAGTTTATAAAAACGGGGACAGCGATTTCCTCAGATAAACCCTTTCATGCAACCAAACGAGCCCAGCCTGAGGTTTCTGGTGCATTCGATGCCGTCTTAGGCTCAGAAATGTCCAGAGCAACATTCAGAAAACCTAAACCCAACCACTGCTTCTTTTCAAAAGCCCCTCTTGTCAGCAATAGATGAGAATATGACATTTGGGGGGCAATGTCAAAAGATGAATTGAGAGCCTAGGGGTCTCCTCATCACCCTCAGATAGCAAACCCCCAAAATGCAGCCCCCACCTCAGTTCTGTCCCTAGGGATGGCAGGTTCAGGGGAGTATCGGGCAAAGGAACTCCCATCCCTGGTGGGTTCCGACCCCTGCTCCCACCTCCTTGGCTCCCTGTGCATGGCCTGGTGAAGGTACCGGGGTGGGGACAGTGATGCAGTGGAGGAAAAGAGGGAACTCCCTTCCACGCATGAGCACAGCCTGTGCAGGGGACCCAGCCCTGGACCATGAGCAGAGAGCCTGGGTCTGTCCCAAGGCCTTGCCGTCCCCTCTCGGAGCCTGTTTCCTCATCTGGACGACCGAGGGGCTGGGTGGGGCGATCTCTAGACTAAGCAGCGCTGAGCCAGCCTCAGAGCTTTGCAGGATGGGTAGGAGGGGCCCCTGTCCCAGCTTCTGAAGCAAGTACAATGTCAGGGGCACCTGCTAAAAGGAGCACGCCCTCTCTGGAGGGGTTCTGGGAGGTTCCGGGACTGCCCATCAGAGCCAAGACCTCAAACCTAGCCTTGCTATTAGAATTCAGGCCACGGGGAAGGGACGACAGCCAGAAAGCTTGCTCAGCCCTGGGGCTCTGGTGCCGGGGGTGTGGTGAGGTGGGAGGGGAAGGGTGTACAGGAGGAGGCAGACCTCAGAGACCAAGTCCCAGCCCTGCTCTTCAACTCAGGGCCCTTAGGCAAGTCATGCAGCAGCTGCAGCTGCACCTGTCCCCACCCCTCCCCGTCCCACATTAGGGCACTGTGGCTTAAAGGTGGATCTGGATCGAGATTATGGCACTGACCTGCCAAGGCCATAATGCCACCCCTGCCCCAGGCCAGCCACACCCAGTGAGGGACTGGCACGCCAGCCCTCCGTAGGGGTGGATGAGGGGAGCTCTGACTGGGGGCATTTGCTGATCTCCCACAGTTGCAAATTGAAGCTACTGATGTGCCGTCACTGAACCTGGGGTGGGCAGACAGGCACCCCAGCAGCTTCAAGAGCTGGCACCAGCCGGCCCTGGCCACCACTTGTCTATACCCAGCCCAGACTCTGCCATTACCCCCAGCGGCTGAGTGGCCTTGACCAAGTCACTTCTCCTCTCAGAAGCTCAGTTTCCCCATCTACAGAAGAGCAGTGATCCCCCCACTCCCAGGATGAGTGTCTGGAGCCAGCGAAGTGACGTTTGTGACACACCCCGGGTGCGAATGGCAGGAGCCTTTCCTATGACGCGTGTGGTCAGCTCCAAGGGACCTAGTGCCACCCAAGGGACACTAGCGGGGGTGGGTCCGTCTCAGGTCTGATCAAGGATAGTCCACGGGTACGATCCCTGCTGCCACTGCCCCTTCTGGGTCATGACGTTATCAGACAGACACTTCTACAGGTGACCAGGCGGGGACAGCCTGGCCCCTGCATCTCACGAGCAAGAACAGCCCCCTCCCCAGCTGAAGCGACTCCCTCCTGCCAGCCCCGTTCTGGGGAATCTTTGCAAAGGAAAGGGAAGAGAAAGGCAGACAGGCAACAGAAAGCCTGTTCCGATCCGGCAGCCACCGTCCTGCCCAAGAGAACCTGCAAATGGGAAACTTCCCAAATCGTCACTGTTGAAAATGAATCCAAATCCTTCCAGAACATTGTGCTACTGGCTACCCGCAGCCCAGGCCCCCAGCGTGCCACGGGGATACTCACAGCTGGTTGAACATGCGTTTCATCTCGTCCGTGATGTTCATGGAGCCGACCTCTTCATCCGAGAACCGGTTCACCTCTCCGTCCTGCTCGGAGATGTCATCATCGGAAGCCACCTTGCGCTCTTTCTTTTTGGGGACCACCTGAACCAGAAAGGAGGCGATCAGGGTGGCCGGAGGGCTCGGCGGGGAGGGAGGGAGGGTGGGGGGTGGACTGGGAGGGAGCTGGCATCCACGGGATGGATGAGCGTGGTGGGGCCAGCCCCTGCCGGGCGAGATGCACAGGTCCTCTACGAAGCAGGCGGCATTAGCGGGAAGCATGAGGTGGGACACATGCAGGTGAGGACACGGACAGCCCTGGACCCTTCCCTGCCCTGGGCGGCCTGGTGCTTGGGCCACTCAGCTCGCCCTTCACCAGAGAAGCAGCCCCATGACATGGGGAGAGGAGCAGGCCGGACCAGGGCACAGAGGCACCTGGGAAGTCTCAGAGCCAGCCAGAGAGACAGAGAACCCCGACAAGGGCCAGAATGGCTCCATGCTGCCCAGAGCCCTCCTGCTCACATGCAAAGGCCACGGAGGGCAGCCCGAGGTTCAGGAAGCTTCCACGCCCAGCAGACAAGACACGAGCAAACGGCGGCTGCGTTGGTGCCCCCCCTTCCCAGCACAGGGGCAGCAAGAAGGCACGGCGGCGGAGCGAGGGCCCCCAGGAGGCCCCGATCTGGCCCGGCTACGTCCAGAGTCACACACATGAAGCCACAACACACCGTTTTGCCCTGGGCTCAAGCAAAAGCCAAAACACAACCCCGAACTCAAGAAGCAGCCTTTGGAGAATGACATGTGCCTCAATCGGCCGCACTACGCCCCAGGCCCTCTCCGGAGGACAGCCCCACTGGCGCTAACCTGATCGCCGTCTCGCGGGGGCACCCACACTTGCACGTTAGGCCGGGGGGGCAGCGAGAGCCTCTTCGGGGGGGAATGAAACATAGTCAGAGGCCAACAGCTCCTCTGGTTTCGAGGCCCACCTGCCAGGGCTCAGGCCAGCTCCCCCAGTTCTCCCCACAGCCTGGCCAGGGCTCCCAGCCGTGGGGACGGTGCCCAGTGCCGGCACCCGGAGGGAGGGGCCGGAATCGGGGCGGTGGACACGGTGCGGCCGGCGGACCCAGCCCTGGCGGGTCAGACCCGGGCTCTGGCCCAGCTCCGCGGCTGCCTTCCTGAGCACGTCACAGCACCCCCAGGCCCTGGGCCCCGCGGCCACAGGAGGAAGCAGTCGGGCCTGATGGCGGAGTTGGACGCGCCTACGAGTCCATGAGTCCCTGACTCTACGCTGTCCTGGGGAGGCTCGGGGGCAGTGCCACCTCTCGGGGAAGGGGAGTGAGTGGGGTGTCGAGGGAACTCGGGCTGCCAGGCAGGGTGGAGGCCAGGGCAGCTCTAGGGAGGAGAGGCGGGCGGCTGGTGAGCGGGGTGGCCCTAGTCACCTGGAAGATCTTGGACACGTCTTCCGAGTTCCGCTGCTGCGCGACATCGCACAGCTTGGCCGTGATATCGATTCGGCGGCAGATGTCCATGTCCACCTTCATGGCCTTTTCTTGGATCTTTGTGTCCAGGTCTGTCATGGGCTGCGGGGAGATCAGCAGGGGTTACGTGAGCGAGGGGCGGAGCGAGCCCGGGGGCGGGGTGGAGAGGCGGGGACCCCTAGGTGCTGGCAGGGGCTCGGGCTTTTCCTGGGAGTGGAGGGCTGTGTCCGCGCTGCTCCGGAAGGGGACGGGGTGGGGGCCTGGGGGTCGGGGCTCCGGCGCCCGCCTGGTGGACAACGTGAGACCGTGCGTGCTGGTCTCCCTAAGGGCTGGAGGGCATCTTCTCGGGGTGAGTGTTCGTTTTGTTAGAGCAAAGAAAACAGAAAGACAGCCCCTGCTGCTGAAAGACATCCATCCGTTCTTCTCCCACCGACAGCCCCACCTGTCCCCAGCTGTCCCCACGCAGCAGCGCCTGTCGAGGCGGCTCTCTCTCCTGGGTCGCACTGCCCACTGCTCAAAGGCGGCAGGACACCTGAGTCCCCAGCCGCAAGGAGGCCTTTGCTGCCAACAGCTCCCCCCACCCACGCTGACTCCAAGGGGCCCCCAGTTGTCCGAAGGACAAGCACATCGGCCTTTCCTGACTTGGCAATGCAACCCCGCCGGGGCTGCCGGGCCCGGGCGCCTCTCAGGCCGGCACTGACCAGACCGCACAGGCCCTGACCCGCCAGCGTGCCCCGTGCCCAGACACACACCGAGGCCTGCCCTCCTCGCGCCAGCCGGGAAGGAGTCGGAGCAAACACACACAGACCTGGGGGGCCCGGGAGGGCGGGATGGGTTAAGCGGCAGATTAATGCATCTCTACTCAGACCGAGGAAGCAGGTGGGGGGGAGGGGCGCCTGGTCTCCGATGCACCTGTCATCCTCACGGTCAAACGCAGCCAGCCAGGACTCTAACTAGAAGCCAGCTCAGAGCCTCGGAGTGAATGAAGCATTCTGCATGATGGGTGTGGGGGATCGTGACGCCGGGCGGCGGTGGCGGCACTTACGTCACTCATGAGTCCCTTAAACACCACCAGCTCGGCCTTAAGCCGCTCGATCTTCTCGTTCATTTCCTCCTGGATGGCGTCAGCCTCCTGGGCCGCCTGCGGGAGACGGAGATGGGGAGGCTTCAGACGGGCACCTTGGGGCTACACGCTGGGGAGCAAGGGACTGGACGCCTGGGCCCATCCAGGGCCCCGGGCAGCCGACGTCCAACCGGGCCGGGTGCCCGCGTGCCAGGGAAGGGGCGCCAAGGGCCTCATCCCAGCCCGGCTTCCCACCGAGCCCTGATGAACGCTCAGAACACTCTTCAAAGGACCGTGTACCGCGTGGAGAAACCCATGGCAGACGTTAGGAGAAAAAGAGCAGCTTAAGGTGACGCTGTGTCCCGACCATTGACATATTAGGCCGGTCGATGTGAAATCGCCAATATTTGACCACCTCTGGTTTCAAAAGTGACAATGTCACGTGTGCCAGCCCAACGTGTGTGTCTAGAGAGTGTCGGTGTGGCCGTGGGGTGTGTCTGCGTAGAAGAGACTGGAAGTCTTGTGCTTTTCTGAATTTTCCAAAATTTGACCATGAACATATTTTGTTTGTTTAAAAAGGAAAAAAAAAAATAAAGTGCTTTTGTTAAAAAAGAAAGGGAGATGTTCAACCTTTTCCAAAACCCATTTTTAAAAATTTTTTAAAGAACTTTTCATGCCTTCGTATGGGGTCACTGCTCTTGTTCCCGTTTGAACTGAGAGGAAAATAGAGGCTGAGAAGGTAAGTTTGCCACTCAGGGGACACCGCAGACAGGAGAGGAACAGAGCCCAGAATGCAGAGACAGCAGCTGGAGCGGCGAGGGGGGCGCCCTCAGCATCCACGTGGGGAGCCTGCTTGGGCTGGGAGCCCCCGGTGACATCCTCGCCCCTCTCCAAGGCATTCAGCCCCAACTCAGGACACTGCAAGCCGAGGGGCTTAAAGACCCCCTAGTCCCAGCCTCGGGTGGGGAGGCAGAGGCCGGAGAGAGGAGTCACTAGCCGCAGGTCACCCAGCAAGCTGAGGGCATCTCCGGGACTTGGACCCAGGCCTTCCAACTCCCAAATCTAAGCTTTTCCGCAACACTGTGTTGGTCCATTCCTCGCCTCAAAGCAGAGGAAGCTGAAGAGACCTCTTGGCTCCACAGAGGAGAGACTGAGGCAGCAGGAGGCCACACTGCTGGAGTAGGGGCTGTGCCCCATGCAGACTGTGCCCCTTGACCTTGCGCCTCCCTGGTCGGGACCTCCGAGGGTGCTTACCTCCTGCAGTGTGTCCACCATGGTCTGAAGGTTCATGCGCTTGGCCAGCTCCTCCTCCCATCTGCAAAAGCCAAGAAGGACAGGTGGTCAGAGACGGTGGGCTCCCGCCAGTCCAGCCCTCAGACAAAACACCAGCACCCACCCCGGGGCTGTCCCCGGGCTGGGAGAGGAGGGTGCCTTGGTGAATCCATCCCTGCCTGCCCTCCAGGAGCTCCCAACCGAGGCAGGGTGGTGGGAGAGGACAGCCGAGCTGACGCATACCAGAATACCAGGTGGCGGTGACAAGTGCCACGCTCAAGGCATGAGCCCCGCACTGTGGGGAGACAAAGGCAGGAGGGACGACCACCACCCTACTCTGCCTTCATGCAAACTGCAAAGTGCTGTGCAAGTGCTATTGCTGTGAGACGCACTTGCAAAGCCGGCCGTTAGGAGCCAGGCTGCAGCCAGCTCTACCCTCGGCCTCTTCTCTGCACTCACAAGAAACAAACCTTTATGGTGCTAAGCATTGCAATCTTAGAATTTATTTGTCCTGCAGACTGCCCTAAGCAACACAGAAATCTCCTACACAGGTGTAATCATCTCATTTTACAGATGTGAAAACCGAGGGCTCAGAGAGGTTAAATATCTTGTCCAAAGACACACAGCTACTCAGTGGGTACAGTTGAAGTTCAAACCCAGGTCTGTTTTATTACATTAAAAGAAATCCCCCAAAATACAGTTCTCACTTCTTTAGCATTTATTAGGTGCCAGACCCCACTCCAAGGGCTTTCCATGTATCGTTTCATTCACGCATGAGTTAGTCGAAGCTCGGCAGGAAAGGATAAATACCAGGAACACCTTTACTGAGACTGACTTTGTACCAGGCCTGTTCTACACGAAGCACTTCGATCCTTGTGGCGTGGGTACGATCACATCCCATGTGCAGGTGGCAAAGGCAGGCAGAGTCACATGCCCAAGGTCAGGGTGGGGGAAGGTGGAGCCAGGACTCAAGCCCAGGTGGGGAGCCCCCCGACAGACTGGCGGAATCCCCTTGTGGAGCTCCCCAAGGAGCCAGGCACCACCAAAGCCTGAAGGCCCCAGCCTGGCCCCCAACACTGAGTCCCTGCCTCCCCCAGGAAGCTGGGGGCAGGTTCCCTCTGTCCCTCCACCCTGGGACAGACAGACGAGCTCCTCTCCCTCCGCGCCCCACTGCTGCCCTCCCCCCAGCGCATGGCATGGCGGTCTGCGAGCCTTTTAGGATGCTGTCAGGGCCGGCTAAAAATAGGCCAGAGGGGCGGGAGGGACGAAGAGAAGGTTACGTCACCAGCTTTTGGAAACAAGAGAAAACGGATACTGTTTGCACACACAGAGGAAAATTCCTCCCGGCTCCCACACGGGCCGGGCCTGGCCGGGGCTCCCGGAGGACACAGGCGTGCTCGCTCCCCCGCGCTCCGCCGCTACCAGCCGGACGTTAGTGGCCGGCCCGGCCCGAGGGCTCCAGGGTCCGGACCAAGAGGGCTGGCGGACACAGAGGGAGCTAAGGAGGGCCAGGGAGAGGGTCTGAGGGCCCCAGGCAGGACCATCTCACTGGAATCCCTCATTGCACAGATAGGGAAACTGAGGCCCCGAGCAGACAAGCCCAAGGTCACCTAGAACATCAGGGGCAAGGCTAAGAGGCCAGCCCCAGACCACCTCTCGATGGGGACAGGCCCAATGTTGGGGACAGGCATTCCAAGTGGGGAGAAGTGCCAGCGACCCCCGCCCTCCACCAGCAGCATGGAGCATCTGGGCCCCCGTTGGGGGAGGGAAAGGCCCTGGACACAGGTCCCGAGCTGAATCATGTCTCCTGGCCACGCTGCTCTGAGGGGGAAGGGGACGCGACTCCAAGGCCGCTGAGCGGAGCGGGTGCAAGGAGAGCCGCTCGTGGCTCTGGCCGCCGCCTGGCTTCTGGGCCCAGCCCGCCACCCTGTCCTGCAGCAACGGCAGGAGCCGCAGAGAAGGGGGCAGCAGGGGGTGAACAAAGCCACGTCCTCTAGCTGGGACCCAGACACATCCCAGGGGATCTTGCTGACACGGCCCCCACTCTCCAGAAGGAGGCACAGCACCCCGCACCTTTTCTTCCAGCCACCATCTCACGAGGAAGACGGGCAGGGGTCAAAGACCCATTGGACAGACGGAGAAAATGAGGCCCAGGGAGGGAAAGCGACTTGCCCGAAATCCGCCCAGGCTGAGGGCACACACTCCTATCTTTGGCTCTCCGGACGCAACGGCAGCAGCAACCCAGTCTCTGGGTCCCACGCACGGGGCTCACTGCCTCGTACACAGACACCGTCGGCTTTCACGTGAATTATTAAACCTCTCGGGGGGGATATTTCCACCCAAACCCATTTTGTGGATGAGGGAACTGAGGATCAGAGAGGTGAAGTAACTTGCCTAGGGTCACACAGCTAGTCAGCAGGGAGCTGGGACTCAAACCTGGTGCACTCTCCGAGCAGTAATGTCAGACTAGCAGGTGCACACGGATCGCCTTCGCAGATGAGGGGGGCGTGGTAACGTGCAGCCCCTGATTCAGCAGGCCTAGGGTGGGGCAGTCAGCTCCCAGGGGTGCTGGTCGCAGATGGCACTCTGGGAGGCCAGGCTCTGGGAGGCCACGCAGCCCAGTCCCTCCACCTCCCCACTTCTCGCCTCCCCTCCCTCCCCTCCTGCCCGAGCTACGCACCGCCCCACACCTCGATCGTGTTTCCTAAGCTCACCCCGGAGGACGAGCCTGCAGGGATGATGTCGCCAGCCTTTTCTTTCCAAAGCCGGGCTGGGTGGGCAGCTGGCTCGCCTGCGCCCGGGGGCTCGAGGACAGACCCCGCATGTGGACGGCAGCTGGCCGGACAGGCGAGAGCCCGCTGCCCGCACCGACGTCCCTCTCGGCGCGGCGGGAAGGCCTGGCTCAGCTGGCCGCAGTGTTGACGGGGCAGAAAAGCTCTGCCCTTCAGCCGCTCCGACTGACTGACGGGGCGAAGGGCCAGGCGGGCGACCTGCTCTCACCGCACCCCAGACGCCCGCACCTGCCGCCATGCGGCCCAGAGCAAGGGAGCGCTCGGCTTGGCTGGAAGCTGGTTAAGCAGGCTGCCGGCTCGGTTACCTGCTTCCCCCTACAATCCTGTCCCCTGCCTGCCCCGGGTCTATCCACGGGAGTCAGGCTTCCGGGCAGAGGGACCGGCGTACACAAAGAGGCCAGCAGGAGGGGACAGGCCAGGGGCTGCCTGCCACGAAGACGGGGGCACCTGCTGTGGGTCAGCGTTTGGTGGATGGCGGTTCCTTTCGGCCTGGGCTGTCCCTCCTCTCAGCCCCAGCCCACGGCCGAGCAGATGACTGGCCCAAAGTCACCGCTAGGAAATGGCAGGGCCTGGTCTGGCCAAATCCCACTCCTGGGCCCCTTGAGGCTGAAAGGGGAAGGCAGGCTGGGGTGAGCTTAGAGACCATCGTGGGGGCACAAGGGTCAGAGTTTCCCCAGCAGTCCAGGAGCTGTTCTGTCGGCTGGGGGGGGGTCTTTTCTGGCCAAAGGACTCCACGATATTGAAGGGTCTGTCTCTGGAGGAAACTGGGGTGACATACACACCCCAACTCTCTCTGTGGCGTGGCCAGGCCCTTTAAATATTAATACATCTGCTCGATCCCATTGCCTCAACGCAGTGGGCTATGAAGCTACGCTGTACCCATTTTACAGGTGGGAATATGAAAGCCCAGAGCCTACGGACGACTCAAGCCAGAGCCGAGATGGCCTGAATCACTGAGCATCTCCCCTGCCCACCCAGCCTTCTCCCTGCAAGCTCTGGGTGCCAGAGGGACACTTGCTGGTCACCTTGTTGAGGCTGCTCGCCGTGTGAGGCGTTCGCAGGTGTGTCTATAAAATGTCACTGACTCCTCCTCTGAGGACGGTCTCCATTCTCAGAGGAGGAAGCAGAGGCTTGGCGGTTAGGCGGCCCATTTCCCCTTCCCCTCCCTCCTCCTCAGCCTCCTGAAACCCTATCCCCTCTCCCGGGAGCCGTGGCATCCACTGCAATTGTTTTCCCTCCTCCAGCGCCACCAGCTTGAGGTGCTGGCCCAGATCGCAGGGCCCAGGCTCCTGTTTGCCCAGGGGGCTGGGCTGCGGAATCTCGATGCACACAGCTCACCCAAAGGAGCCGGCCCCACGGCGCCAGGGACACCATGGCTCCAGCAGGCAGTCACCTGCGTCTGCCCACCATCGCCAGGGCTGGCACCCCCTGGGCGGGGTCTCGGGCACAGAGGAGGGACAAGGAGGAAACCAGGGCCGAGATCCCCAGTGTAGATGGGTAAGGGCATGGAGGAGGAGCAGGGTCTCAGGCTGGGGACCAGCCCTCCCCCATCCAGAGAAGCGGTTCCGATTCCCACGCCTGTGCTCAGGAGTCGGACGCTCACCGCAGGGACTGGATGAAGGAAGGAATCGGCCCCTGCTCAGCCCTCCCAGGCCAGAGCCCCCTTCCCTGGGGCATCCTCGGCCTGCCCCGTCCCGGCCTGGGGGCTCCCAGAGCCCAGTTCCCGGCACAGCCCCTGCTCTCAGCTCGTGCACGTGGCTCCACGGCCTCTCCCAGGAGACGCCAGGCCGGGGGAGGGACGCCAGGGCAGGAAGCAGGCAGGGAGAAGGAGAAGCCTTCCCTTCCCTTTCCCACAGCCCTGCGGGCAGGCAAGCAGGGTGTCGGGACAGAGAGTGGGGGAGAGGAAATGACTGCACAAAAGCACTCTGCAGCTGAGAGCGGGGCCTGGGCCACCATCTTAGCAGAGCGAGCACTCTCACCCACGTGGGGCTGGTGGCCAGGAGGGGAGGTGGCAGCACCGCCCATCCAGATGTGGTCCCTCCGCATTCCTCAGGAGCCTCCGGGACCACATGAGCCGGCCACTGGGGGGAGGAGTGGGCAGCTTTGTGCCAGCCCCTACCCCCTCCACCACTCAGCCAGGGCCTCCCCTCCCCCGGCAGCTCAAGATGACACAAGATGACACACAGACCCGCAGGAAAGGGGCTAGCAAGCCTGGCCAGCGGAGGGGCGGAAACCCACGCTGAAGTCACTG